CCTCTAGCCCTCTAGCCCTCTAGCCCTCTAGCCCTCTAGCCCTCTAGCCCTCTAGCCCTCTAGCCCTCTAGCCCTCTAGCCCTCTAGCCCTCTAGCCCTCTAGCCCTCTAGCCCTCTAGCCCTCTAGCCCTCTAGCCCTCTAGCCCTCTAGCCCTCTAGCCCTCTAGCCCTCTAGCCCTCTAGCCCTCTAGCCCTCTAGCCCTCTAGCCCTCTAGCCCTCTAGCCCTCTAGCCCTCTAGCCCTCTAGCCCTCTAGCCCTCTAGCCCTCTAGCCCTCTAGCCCTCTAGCCCTCTAGCCCTCTAGCCCTCTAGCCCTCTAGCCCTCTAGCCCTCTAGCCCTCTAGCCCTCTAGCCCTCTAGCCCTCTAGCCCTCTAGCCCTCTAGCCCTCTAGCCCTCTAGCCCTCTAGCCCTCTAGCCCTCTAGCCCTCTAGCCCTCTAGCCCTCTAGCCCTCTAGCCCTCTAGCCCTCTAGCCCTCTAGCCCTCTAGCCCTCTAGCCCTCTAGCCCTCTAGCCCTCTAGCCCTCTAGCCCTCTAGCCCTCTAGCCCTCTAGCCCTCTAGCCCTCTAGCCCTCTAGCCCTCTAGCCCTCTAGCCCTCTAGCCCTCTAGCCCTCTAGCCCTCTAGCCCTCTAGCCCTCTAGCCCTCTAGCCCTCTAGCCCTCTAGCCCTCTAGCCCTCTAGCCCTCTAGCCCTCTAGCCCTCTAGCCCTCTAGCCCTCTAGCCCTCTAGCCCTCTAGCCCTCTAGCCCTCTAGCCCTCTAGCCCTCTAGCCCTCTAGCCCTCTAGCCCTCTAGCCCTCTAGCCCTCTAGCCCTCTAGCCCTCTAGCCCTCTAGCCCTCTAGCCCTCTAGCCCTCTAGCCCTCTAGCCCTCTAGCCCTCTAGCCCTCTAGCCCTCTAGCCCTCTAGCCCTCTAGCCCTCTAGCCCTCTAGCCCTCTAGCCCTCTAGCCCTCTAGCCCTCTAGCCCTCTAGCCCTCTAGCCCTCTAGCCCTCTAGCCCTCTAGCCCTCTAGCCCTCTAGCCCTCTAGCCCTCTAGCCCTCTAGCCCTCTAGCCCTCTAGCCCTCTAGCCCTCTAGCCCTCTAGCCCTCTAGCCCTCTAGCCCTCTAGCCCTCTAGCCCTCTAGCCCTCTAGCCCTCTAGCCCTCTAGCCCTCTAGCCCTCTAGCCCTCTAGCCCTCTAGCCCTCTAGCCCTCTAGCCCTCTAGCCCTCTAGCCCTCTAGCCCTCTAGCCCTCTAGCCCTCTAGCCCTCTAGCCCTCTAGCCCTCTAGCCCTCTAGCCCTCTAGCCCTCTAGCCCTCTAGCCCTCTAGCCCTCTAGCCCTCTAGCCCTCTAGCCCTCTAGCCCTCTAGCCCTCTAGCCCTCTAGCCCTCTAGCCCTCTAGCCCTCTAGCCCTCTAGCCCTCTAGCCCTCTAGCCCTCTAGCCCTCTAGCCCTCTAGCCCTCTAGCCCTCTAGCCCTCTAGCCCTCTAGCCCTCTAGCCCTCTAGCCCTCTAGCCCTCTAGCCCTCTAGCCCTCTAGCCCTCTAGCCCTCTAGCCCTCTAGCCCTCTAGCCCTCTAGCCCTCTAGCCCTCTAGCCCTCTAGCCCTCTAGCCCTCTAGCCCTCTAGCCCTCTAGCCCTCTAGCCCTCTAGCCCTCTAGCCCCCTAGCCCTCTAGCCCTCTAGCCCTCTAGCCCTCTAGCCCTCTAGCCCTCAGATAGGAGACAGAGGACAGACAGATAGATAGGAGACAGACAGATTAGCAGCCCTCTGGCCCCCTGGCCCTCTGCTGCAATTAAAGGGGTATTAATTGTGTCACAGTCACAGACTTGGTTTTGCTACATGCACTATAATGGGTCAGGGGCCCCTATGTCCCTCGGCCCTGTAGCCTCCTGCACCCTCTACCCCCTCCTACCTTATTTGTTTCTTCGCTCCCATCGGTGTTCTGCTCCAGTCTGTCTTCAGCAACCTTTATTTTCACAGCCCCCACCTCAGGTGTGCCCCGGAAGCATTCACACCCCTCCTCACAGGTGTCCACCGTCAGGCTGTGGACCATGTCTTCCCTCCCAAACGCCCCTTTCTCTGCCCCAGGTTTGCCACAAAGGCTTTGGAGCAAACCCCCAAAGGCCGCTGTCTTCCCTTACCCCTCAGTGCACACAGACCCCTCGGTCCACACAGCCCCTGGTTCTCTCCAGTCTCCACCTGGCTTTCTCGTGGCCAGTCACTCCGCCTCCAGGACCCACCCAGGTGCGCAGGCCCCTGAGCACCCCCACAATGGACGCAGCCGAAACTGGCTCCCTCCAGCCCGGGCACCGAAAGCTTTAATGAGCAGCTCTTTTGCACGCGTCCCCCCACCCTTGTTCGCTCTAGACGCCCCCCACACCCCCGCCTCCTGCAGGGGGAACCGCAGCTCAGTCCCGAGCGGGAGCGCCCGGCGGCGGCCTTCCCCGGCTCCGCCCAAGCCGCCGCCACCCCCAGCCCGCTGCGCGCACTCTGCCATCAGACGGGCAGCTCTTCTGGGGGCCCCGCCCGGCCCCAGGGGTACTCACGGCCGTCCCCGCCGCACCGGGTCTCGCCGCCGCCTGCCAGGCGCCCCTGCGCTCAGGCCGCCCTCGGCCGGGGGCACCGCCCGCCCAGGAGAGCCGCTCCCCGCGGCCGCTCCGGGCGCCTCCCCGCCGTGGGCGCCCCACAGGCCAGGGCCCCACAGGGCCCGCCGCACCCGCGCCCTGAGCTCCTCGGGCCCTGACCCCCCTCTCCCGCCCACGGGCCGCGCCCCCAGGTGCCGCGAGGCGGCTCCGCTGCTCCCGGCGCCTCCGCAGCTGCGTCCCCGCGTCCGGGCTCCAGACCTCGGCGCCCGCTTCCGGCGCGTCTGGGCGGCTTTGAGACTCTCCCGCCCGCTGCGGAGAAGCCCCCCCAGGCCGCTGCAGGCCGCCCCGACTGTCCTCTCCGGGGCACAGAGGATCCCCTCGCTCCCCCTCCCCGGGCGCCACGGAGAAGGCGCCCCCCGCCCCCGCCCCTGGCGTGCTCGGGGGTCCCCGCCGTCCGTGGCGGGGGCCCCGTCAGCGCCGGGCGAGCGGATGGGGCGTCGGGCTCCTGCTCCCCCGCCGCTGCGCCTGCGCCTCGGCTCGGGGTCCTGGGCGCGCCCCGCCGGCAGCTCGGCCCCCCTGGGCTCCAGTCTCCTGCGGCCGCTCCCGGGCCGCGCCGCCTCCGGGGGTTCCCGGCGCCTCCAGGCTCGCCCTCCCCCCGCGGGCAGAGCTTCGAGGGACGCCCGCCCCAGACCTGCTCCGAGCCGGGCCCAAGTCCGTCGCGGCCCCCGCCGTGCGCACCCCGCGTCCCGCTCCCGTCCCAGCACTTCGGGGGCCGCGTTCCCGTCCGCGCCGGGTCCTGCCGCCCGGGCCGGCTCCGGGAGCTCCGGGCACACGGGCAGAGGGTCCCGGGGCTCCGGGGGCTGACGGGGGCTGACGGGGGCTCCAGCGCAGCCGGGCGCCCGGGGCAGGGCGGGCAGGAGAGCCGGCCCCGGGAACCCCGACTCTCCGCGCTCTCTGGGCGGGCGCCGCGCGGGCGGGCCGGGGGCTGAGGGGCGGGATGCGGGGCTGAACTGGGGGTCTGAAGGGCGGGCGGGCCCCCCCAGCGCCCGGGGGATCTGGACGCTCTCGGGGCTCTCTCCGGCGTTCCCGCGGGGTCTGCTCCAGTCCCGGCCGCTGCGCGTCCTCTCTCGCCGCCGCTCTCGCTGGGGGCCCGAGCCCGCCCGGCCGCGCGGACGCCGCCTTATATGCTCCGCCCCGGCCCCAGGTGCGCCCTCGCCCGCGCCTCCCGCGCCTCCCGCGCCTCCCGCGCCCAGGCCCAGGTGCCCGAGCAGAGCGGCGGCCTGGACCCCCGGACTCCACTCTGGCCCTGAGCCCCACCACGGTGCGCGCCCCGGATCTGCTCGGGGCCGCCCCGCAAAGGGTCGCAGCGTCTGGAGTGTTTCGGGGGAGACCTTGAGGCCGACTTGACAGGGACTTCAAATGCACAGGAAACTTTCAGGGCAGCTCAGGCGCTCGCTGTCTCACGCGCGGATTCCTGCTTTACCGTGTGTTTTGCTTCCCATGAAACATTCATGTGTTTTCATCACAACATTCCATTTTGTATTTAACCAAAATATTCCGGGGATCTAGCACATCACCCCCAAAATAAATCATCCTGGTTTCCATGTTCGAATCCATTTCAGCTGTCCCCACCTGCTCCACCTGGGCGAGAGCATCTTCTTCCCTCGGATCGACTTTTCTCTTTGGCAGCTGTTCCTGACGCTGCTGCTTTTTCACAACCATGAGGGGTTGAGTGTGTGCCCCTGCCTGCACTGCGGGGTGTCTTCTGTTTTTTTAAGATTTATTTCTTTATGCATACAAGAACTGGGGTACAGGCCAGAGGTGTGGGGGTTTCCGAGAGGATTCACCAGAGTAGGGAGCAGAAGAGGCGGATCTACACTGCCGAGGGGAGCAGCAGGCGAGGCAGGAGAGCTCTGCTGTGCCATGTGGTTGCTCCGTGGTCAGGGATCGAACTCGTGCTGTTGTGGCTGCGGACTTAACCCCTTCCGCCACTAGCGAGGCCCAATAAATAAATCTTTAAAAATAATAAACAACAGCATGCTGTCACCCGAGCTCCAGAGACTTCAGTTGGGCGTAGTATTAACGGGGTGTGTTGCTGAAACGCTGATTGCGAATCACTTATCCTGCAAAAACCCGAGAAACTAGAGAGCTGTATCCTTAAAACTTTAAGAGACTCTTCGCTTTTGTGGGTGACGCGGGGGGCGCTGGGGCGGGTGAGGGCGCACACCTGGGGAGCCGGGGCGGAGCATCCGTGCACAAGGGATTTAACGCAATTTAGCAAAAGGTCCCTTGAAACACAAGCGCAAAGAATCTTTCACAGACTCACTCTGCGCGAACAAGAGCCACAGCAACGAAGATGAAACACGTGTAATTCACGCGATAAAAAACAGTTACAAGGCGTGGAGAGCCGACCTCCTCCAAATCTCCCTTAGGACACACACTCAGGGGAGGGCGCGCACGCCGTCCCCACCGCCACACATCACGCAGCCGCGTTTCCCGCAGGTGGGGAAGCCGCAGGGGTCAGCGCGCCCGGGGCGCAGCGCACAAGCCTCGCCCTGGGAGAACCACCTTCGCGGTCGTCGCGTCTCCCCTGCCAGGTAAGTAGGAGCGGCCCGCGCGCCGCCCCCTGCCCCCGGCTCCCCGCCTCGCTCTGCACCCACGGCTCGGCTCGCGCCGCCCGCCCACCCGACGCCCGCGACGGCCCTCGCCCCAACCTCGCCGGGCCCGAAAACTCTCCGGGGGGCACTTGCGCCCCCAGATCAGCCCGCGCAGGGCCAAGCGCAGCAGACCCAGCCTCCTCCGCGCGCTGCTCATCTGCATACGCCACGCCCCACATGCTCGTGGTCGGGGTTCGTGCCCCAACCAGGCTGTAAGAGCAGAGAGCACCCGGGAGAAGTCCTGGACTCTCCCAACTAAAATGAACATTAGGGGCCTCCGTGGTGGCGCAAGGGGTTAAGACGCAGCACTATGAAGGCACCCGCAGCCACTGCAGCACGAGTTTGATTGATCCCTGGCCGCCAGGGAGCTACCCACATGGCACAGCAGACCTCTCCCGTCTCCCCTGCTGCTCCCCTCAGCAGTGTATCTCAGTCAATCCCCAGTTCTATTCCCCAGTCTGTCTCTGGCCTGTACCCCAGTTCTTGTATGCATAAATAAATAATTAAAAAAATAAAATTAGATTGAAGGTAGCACAAGGGGTTAAGACAGCACTATGAAGCATCCGCAGGCACTGCAGCACAAGTTCAATCCTGGCCAGGGAGCTACCCACATGGCGCAGCAGACCTCTCCTGTCTTGCCCGCTGCTCCCCTCAGCAGCGTATTTCAGTAGATCCACCTGTTCTGCTCCCCACTCTGTCTCTGGTGAATATTCTCATCTCCCCCCTCACCTCTGCTTTGTACCCCAGTTCTTGTATGCATAAATAAATCTTTTAAAAAGTAAAAATGTAAAAATAAAAAAATAAGATTGTAGAGTTTGTTTTTCTTGCATTTTATTTCTAACCTTTCCCCATTGAAAATCACAGTGTTTCTGGCTAGTCATCTCTCTGGTGAGTTTCTCATTTCTTTACGTTTTCTTTGCCCATGGAGACTACTATGTTTTCCTAGATATGCCATGTTGTCTGTGTTGGCAAGTGGGAAGAAGTGCAGGAGCATGTGCAGTAAGCAGTCTTTCATGAAAACAAGAAAATACACACGCTCTTCATTTTTTTTTTAAGATTTATTTATTTATACATACAAGAGCTGGGGTACACGCCAGAGGTGCGGGTGGTGAGAGGATTCACCAGAGGCAGAGTGGGGAACAGAACAGGCAGACTGACTGAAATTACACTGCTGCGGGGATCAGCAGGCGAGACAGGAGAGGTCTGCAGCGCCATGTGGGTAGCTCCCTGGCTGGGGATCGAACTCATGCAGCAGTGGCTGGTGACAGCTTCATAGGTTGCATCCTAACTCCTTGCACCACCAGGAAAGCCCCACATGCTCTTCTTCCAAGAGAAACACAAGACTGCTAAACCACAGATGATTTATCAGAGATAAGTGGAAATAGATAATGACCCTTTTCGGGGTGTACCTTCTCATGTAGTTCAGGCTTTTTAAACATTATGCTTTTTGGTTTTTGTTTTTTAATACTGGAAAAAAATCCTAAAATTAAATAAGAAATATAAATAAACCTTAAGTCTCTAACCGATATGGAGACTGCAGGTATCTCACTTGCAGTAGAAAAAATAACTAGGCAAATGACTTTTGCACTCAGTACACTGAAAACATGCACCTTCAAATCTAAAGACAAGAACTGCAAATACCAAACTGTTCTAGAACAGAGTTTCAGTCATATGGTTGTCACAATTCTGTAATAATGCTGTGTGGATTCAACTTGAGTAAATGGTTATTGGGAGTCAAGGATCTTGCTGTAGGAGAAAGGAAACACAAATATAAAATGGGGAGGAGGATCCGTGTGGTTTACTGAAAATTAAAATGAGTATGGGCTCATTTTTATTTTTATTTTATTTTTTTAAAAGATTTATTTATTTATTAAAGATTTATTTATGCATACAAGAACTGGGGTACAAGCCAGAGGTGTGGGGAGGTGAGAGGATTCACCAGAGACAGAGTGGGGAACAGAACAGGCAGATTGACTGAAATACACTGCTGAGGGGAGCAGTGGGCGAGACAGGAAAGGTCTGTCCCGCCATGTAGGTTTCTCAAACTCCTGCTGCAGTGGCTGTGGATTGCTTCATAGGTTGGGTCTTAACCCCTGCGCCACCAGGGAGGCCCTGTGCTTAACCTCTTGTGCCACCAGGGAGGCCCCAAGATTTATTTATTTATGCATACAAGAACTGGGGTACAGGCCAGAAGTGTGGTGGGGGTGAGAGGATTCACCAGAGAGATTGGGGAACAGACCGAGGAGGAGGACTGACCGAAGTACCCTGCTGAGGGGAACAGTGGGCGAGTCAGGAGAGGTCTGCTGCGCCATGTGGGTTGTTCCCTGGCAGACTGGGGATCGAACTTGTGCTGCAGAGGCTGCGGATTGCTTTATAGTGCCGTGCTTAACTCCTTTGCACCACCAGGGGGGCCCAGAGTCACCCAAATTTTGCTGTAAACCATTTACAATAAAAATAAAGGGGGGCCTCCCTGGTGGGAATTGGCAGCCACTGCAGCACAAGTTCAATCCCCCGCCAGGGAGCTACCCACATGGCGCAGCAGACCTCTCCTGTCTCACCCGCTGCTCCCTCAGCAGTGTATTTCAGTAGATCTGCCTGCTCTGCTCCCCTCCCCACTGACTCTGGCTAATCCTCTCACCCCTCACATCACTGGCCTGTACCCCAGTTCTTTTATGCATAAATAAACCTTAAAAAAAAAAAGCTGACCGGCTTGACCGAGGAATATTCTAGCAGAAATGAGCTACATCCCACTAGAAGACTTGGCTGAGCTTCACTACATATATAGAAAGAGTTCAAGTGAACCCAGCAGTATAATTACCACCTTTCAGGGACCCTCATAAAACACTGAGAAATTAGGGTGCCAATAGTTCACCAGGACGCGAAAACAACTGTAGTTTATTTCACGCACTAACTCAAAAAGCTCTTCTGTTGCTATACACAGGATGTCAGGGGAGGGCGCGACGCCGTCCCCACCGCCACAAATGACGAGTTTCCCGCAGGTGGGGAAGCCGCAGGGGTCAGCGCGCCCGGGGCGCAGCGCACAAGCCTCGCCCTGGGAGAACCACCTTCGCGGTCGTCGCGTCTCCCCTGCCAGGTAAGTAGGAGCGGCCCGCGCGCTGCCCCCTGCCCCCGGCTCCCCGCCTCGCTCTGCACCCACGGCTCGGCTCGCGCCGCCCGCCCACCCCAAAAACACTCCGGGGGGCACTTGCGCCCCCAGATCAGCCCGCGCAGGGCCAAGCGCAGCAGACCCAGCCTCCTCCGCGCGCTCTGGAGACCCGCAGGGCCGGGCGGGGCTGGACACGCGCTGAGCGCCCGGCCTGGGGGGAGAGGCGCCCCCTGCTTAGGAACCCCTCCGAGAGGGTGGGTCAGCAAAACGGAAGCTGCACCCCTTTTTGGCCTCGCTTCCTTTTTGCGGGTTGATGTTGGGTGCTGGGCCGGGGCAATGAAAATGGTGTCCCGTGTACTCGGTCCGCTTTGTTTTCTCCAGCCTCGACTGAAGGCATCCTTGCTGGGCAGGATTATTCGGAGGACCCCCCCCCCTCTACGCCCCCTCCTTAGATATTTAAGTCCTGGGATCTCTCCAACCATCGAGTAGGGAGTTTTGTTTTTGTTTTTGAGATTGCAGACGTGCCATGCATTATTTCAACACACCAACAGCTCCAGCGTTCCTCAAGCTTGCCCAGCCCGCAGGGAAAGAAAGTCAAGATGCTACCCCTGAAGTAAGAAGAACAGGACTGAATAGGAAATAATCTGTGCAAATCGTGCAATAGTGGAGTTAAGTCTATAATACTGGTCAAGTATTTTAAAACAGATGAAAACATGTGCTATTTTACAGTTGATTCATGCTATCGGAAATATTTAATTTTCACCTCTTTTTTTTAGGATTTATTTATGTACGCATGCAAGAACTGGGGTATAGGACAGAGTAGCAGGGGGTAGAGGATTCACCAAGGCAGAGTGAGGAGCAGGACAGGGGATCCACTGAAACACACTGCTGAGGGGAGCAGGGGCGAGACAGGTGAGGTCTGCTGCGCCATGTGGGCAGCTCCCTGGCCGGCCTGGGATCCAACTAGAGCTGCAGAGGATGCTGGATAGCTTCACAGTGCTGTGCTTCACCTGCTGCGCCACCAGGGAGGACCTACAGGTTTCTACTTAAGAATGCTCCTACCCTCGGGCCTCCCCGGTGGTGCAGCGGTTGAGCGCTGGGTTGCGAAGCTGCCCGCAGCCTCTGCAACGCAGGTTCGATCCCCGGCTGCTCCCCGGCCACTGGAGGAGGGTCCCACATGGCACGCAGACCTCTCCTGCCGCCCGCTGCTCCCCTCAGCAGTGTACTTCAGTCCTTCTGCCTGCTCTGCTCCCCGCTCTGGCTCTGGTGAATTCTCTCACCCTCTCACGCTTCTGACTGTACCCAGTGCTTGTATAAATAAATAAATAAATAAATAAATCTTTAAAAAAAAAAAAAAAAAAAAGAACACTCCTACCCTAACATGAATGGGAACATGGTGTGGATTTCTGAGTGTGAAACACTCACAACCATACCAACAGTGGAAGCACTCCTTAGAGGTGTCAGCAATAACTGCCACTGTTTTTTCCATCATCCTCATCCCATCATTGTGACAACCAAGTGTCAACTGGATGAATTAATTTTCTGGGGCAAATATCGATGTAATCAGGATTGCAAAGCTATTGCGCAGAAAATGAACACAAACGAGTAAAATACTACTGAAGAATTAGGGTTTGGGGACAGGCCCAGAGTTTGAGGACCCCGGGCGGGGTCTATTTCTTGGTCATGTCTTAGGAGAGAACATGATTCAATGTGGAGAACAGAGTTACAGAAAACAAGACCCTTCCTGAGAGCCGAGGGCACAGGAAAGCTCTCTGCGCACAGGGTCCTGCTGGGCAGCCTCCTGGGGATGAGACGTGGGTGATTACCTGGGGAGCGTGGGCA